GTGTAAACATTGTTTTTCCTTAAAAGGGGAGGAGTTGGCCATGTTGGAGGATATGAGCGTCGGCGTGATGGACCTCAGAAATGTCACCTTTAAGGTTACCCAGGCAACCTCGGGTTTCAGCCCAGACCTGCTGCCGGTGATCACGGGGAACAGGAACGGCTTCAACGTCAGAGTCCCGATGCCTGGCGCCATGTTTGACACGCTGCCGAGAGAGATCCAGAACGGGATGCTGCTGCGGGTGCAGCCTGTCCTCTTCAACGTGGGGATCAACGAACAGCAGACGCTGGCTGAGAGGTGAGTCACTGAAAACAAGCAGACAGAACGCTCAGCTGTACACGTCGAGCTAAGTTGAGTGTTTATGACTACTGAACAGTGACGTGTAGCGAGGTTCATGGATGGTTCATCAGAATCAGATTTACAAATATATGAACCCTACAGAACAACTTAATGAGTCAATGAGTTATGTTTTATATCTCATATCAGTGTTCTTTAGACAAACTGCAGCTCATTTGATCCACATTTCATTATCATTATGTCCTACCTTCACTYATAAATGAAGTCCTYGCACAGCTCACAATATCCCATCTGAGTCCAGATTTTGTCACGAGTTGAAAAATGGCAGGGTGAAAAAGTTTCAGGACATTCACACAGCCACTATTTCTGTTTCAGAAGAGCTTTAATCTCAGCTGTGTGGGTCTTATTTACCTGCTGCTAATCCAAGTCCAGTTTAGAAAATAGTTTGAGCTTTAAAATATACAATCCTCCATTCTAAAAGTCAGGTTTGACAAGAGAGAAAATAAATGGATCTCTGCTGCACTTTACTTTTTTTTAACTTTATAAACTGAAAGTTCACAAAACTGGTACCAAAAGCGCTGCGTTTGGCTTGCTAACTGTGACTTTTTGTTCCTTCTTCTGCAGCTCAGAGTAATCTCTTCTGCAACTCATGCGTTCTCTGAGCTCATGAACTTTCCCTACCGTTCCCCTCAATATAAAAACCTCCAGCCTCCACTCAAGTCTTTTCTCAGCCATTTCAGCTCACAGAACACGCTACACGAATACATTTTTATATAATAAACATAAACTGTGGAATGTCAGGTGTATGTTGAACAAAAATCTGAAACATTTTACTGGTGACATAAAGAGACATATTCTGCTCTCACTGCATAACCTGCAGGAGTGATTGTGTAATCCAAGTGGAGACAGAGCGTGGTTGAAAGGATTGTGCAGTCTGGAGGCGGAGCTTGATTTTGCCTCCTAGTCTGTCTCTTCCTGTGTCTTTGAACAGGAAATGAGGAAGTTCAGGGATTTTGAATAAGAAAAATATAAAAATTTGTTGAATTTTAATAGAAAATGTGCTTATAATACAAAGCATTATAT